GGAATACGTTTCTATTAGTAGTTCAGTTTATAGGATCAACCATGTGAAGTTATGCAAAGTGGATTTTGTAGTTTATAATTTAATCTCTGATTTGGTTTCCCAATGCAACACTATCTATCTGTTCTGTGGTAAACGATACTCGAGAGGTCTGAATCAAACATATTCATGAAATTTACTTCAATCCCTTTATGCATTAAAACTAAAATCTATTACAAGTCAATTTAATTATGTCATATTAAAAATGCATGGATCTGCTATAGTTTGTATGCTTTCTTGTTGTTGCTGAATTTAACTATGTAACCTTGAAAACGCAAATTACTGAAATTGAATCTGTTTGCTCAATGGTTATTAAAAGTTTGTTGAGGGCAACGATTTTTTGTAGTTCCTAAACAATTCATGAGCAACAAATAACATTATTTTTTTGCATATGCATCATTTAAATAGATTGTTTATATTCATGCTAGTTTGTTTCCGTAAAAGAATTGTTTATAAAAAAATATTTGGTTGAAATTAGTAGGCCATAAGAGGACATATGTTACCTAAAATGTTAACAATGATACTGAACACTGAATAAAACTATTGAAAAAAAAAATTCTTTCCATAGGTAAATCATAAAAAATTGTCAAATCTTTTAGTAAGACCTTTTCAGATGGGTTTTCTCCATTACTATCACACAAATCTTGAAAATTTTCAATTAGTCGTAATCTAAAAATACAAATGCTCGTCTAACCAGGTTATTCAACAGACAAAATAACAGCGATCCACCTTAAAGGTTGACATGTCTCGTGACTGTCGCCTTGAACTTCTTACCTCAATACTAAACATGGCAATCCAATAACATCAATCATAATGAACGGCCACAAAACACTAAATACTAAACACATTTATGTGCTACTTACCACAACATAAAAACTACTAAAGGCATTCTGTTTTGTGGCAACGTAAAAAAGTATGTTTATTTATTTTATTATTTTCTTTCTAAATTTATTATAAAAAAATAATAATAACCGGGAAGGATTTAAGTGTCGTGTATAATACAAGCGATAGCTTTAAGTGATTCGCTGATACATCAAAACAATTTATTAGCAATGTAAATTAGCGTGTTGAACAAAATTGTATAGTAAGGGAATATGAATATTATTCACACTCAAAAAAGTAAAATACTTTTATAACATAGTAAAACAAAATACTAAAAATCTATAAAAACATATTAATGCATGTAACTATAAATAAAAATGTGTAGTGTTTTGTTCAAAGAGAACATTATTTCTAAAACATTACTTGAGTAATTAATTTTCCATTAAAAGATAAATAAAATATCTGGAATTTTTATAGCACTTTTGAAGACACAATACTTGCTACTAAATATATTCCGGTATACTAATAGCAATTGCATAGCCTACCGACTTAGTAATGTAACATGTTTGTGCACTGACCCAGTAGAACTAATTGCTTAGCCTAGTTGTGTGTATATTTACTTAAACTGTTACTGTGAAAATTCTTTGTCATGGGAAATAGAAATTAAATTATCTAGTTGTAGAAGGAATAGTAGCATATTAACTTTAAATTAATAAATGTATTAACAATTTACGTGTTTAATTAGTTGTGTTAAACATTTTTTTTCCTCGCAACTTTAAGATTAACCAACACTATTTCCTGGGGTTTAACGTTTTTATATTTAGATTCGAACCATCATCAATTCGTAAAACATATTCTTTAAGATTCATAAGAAATACTCGTGATATTAATTTCATTTTTGAGCTAAATATACAATTGTGTGATATTCTTGTTTTGCTACCCAACAACACAAAGCCATACATTAGCTTGAGAGATTAATTGCTGCATTGTTCCTTTCAATGGTTTATGCAGCGCAAAATCAAGCAGGAAAGCTATTAGCAAACTCTGCCTGTGAACAATTTATGTTCTTTATTGACGCAGTTATCTAATGAACAAACTTTTTTCTCTAAAAAGGTTAATTTTTCATTGCTTGATTTTGAATGTAAAAGTAAGAAATAATCTAATATATCTGTTGATGCAAAAATAGCCACATTACGATGAGTGATCAAAAAAATCTAAACAGATTGAAATACGATAAAAATGTCAACCTCTTTTGAACAGAGATTTAGATGTCGTGGCATTACAACACTTGTAAATTACTCCTAGAAGCAGTCTCATAAATACTGCAGAGCGCTGACAGGTCTGCTAATTTATACGGGTCCTTCCTCACGCCAACTACTTGGATACGGACAACTAGTTTTGCATTATAATCTACAAAAATATTACTAACATGAGCTCCATTATTGCATTTAAAAATGTATACGAAATAATAATAATGCTGTTTGTTGAGGAAACCATCACTACATTTTTCACCAGTGGAGCGAGCTGGTCTAGTGGTTATAGCGCGGGACTCCGGTTCCTGAGGTCCCGGGTTCAAATCCCACCAAATCACCAATGGATTTTATCTAAGTGATAATGCCGTAACCCCTAGGTCTAGCCTGAAGTAATGTGAAACCAATTTCGGGCTCGTGACTAGCGTCCTAGGAAAAAATTAGTTTTCACCAAGTTAGTTTTCTAAAACGTTTATGAGACAGAATTTATATAACTATTGGTTAAGGATTTCAGAGAATAAGTCATCAATCATGTAACTACAAATACCTACTGCATAGTATTTAAACTGTTTTTGTATTTTTAATATTATTTAGCGCATTAATAATGTCCCAAGAAAGCTAGGAAATCCACTACTCCAACCCAAATCGTGAGTAATAACTGAAATTATATGTAACATGCGTGAATAAAATAAACATATGTTATTTTAATAGAAGTCATGTAAATTCTAAAATAAAGTGAAGTGAATGGGAATTAAATGGAGTAAAACAGGCTTGAACATGGCCCTCAATGAGAAGAAAATAATAATTAAAGAACGCATGTTTCCACCACTTATTGATCTAACAAATGAATATACAACAAACAACTAATAACAAAAAAAATAATCAACATCAATATAACAAATCAATTTAATGATCTAACAAAAAATTTTAAACATTTATCTAGACAAATCGTAGTCCTAGTACCTTATTTATACATGCATGCTTGCCTATTAACATATACGATTTTATTTTCATAAAAAGAAAGCTGTAAAAACCTTTCGGCCCAACAGATGAATCAATTTAAATGAATGAATAATAAATATAATATAATATAAAATTCTATATATTTTGTACATAGTATTTCTGTTATATATAATGGTAACGATTATGAGTTTTAGTGATTTAATAATAAAACTCACTACTTCGAGTTACCAATAAGTCGTGTTACTTTTTTACCAATAAGTTACCAAGCTAAATAACATTAGGTCAAACCCGTATGCTCATCTATTGCACCAAAATATGTGTTAGTCACTCATATTGGGGAAAAAATCATTATAATAAAAATACCTGAAAACACAAACTTGCAATTTTATAAATTTTTTCTCTCTAAATTTATGTGCATTTGCAAGCGTTACTAGAATCGGTTTATTATAATAAATTGAGGTATTTTGTATTTCAAGAGACTACAATCATTTGAACATTGCATTAAAATGGTACACATACACATAGTACAAGAGGGCAATAGAACAACCCGTTTATCTTGTGCTTAGGTAATTCTATGGACAAGATTAAGTGCAGTAATACAGTTGCAGGGGCTTCCCTGGCTTAATAGGTAGGCCGTATTTACTGCAGTAGTTTGAGGTGGCTTGTACACTAGATATTCCACAAACAATTAATATCGTTAATGAAACTCAATACATTATATGAGGCTATGTACTGGCATTTATTTTACATGGTGTTTCACTCGTATATTAAGAAAATAAAATTTAACGCTAGGTTTTCATTTTGCATTTTTACATTCGATTTTTAATTCAATTTTAAAGAGAAAATACAAAAAATAAGAAAAAATAAATACACTAGGCAATTTAGATATAATGTTGATATTAAATTAAAAAAATATATCTAAATAAAAATATTTAATTTAAATATCTAAATAAGTTTCAACCAAAGAGTTAAAATTTAAAGGTAAGCTTAATAGCTATACAGTATGTAGAAATACTTATCTACCATTTGCACGCGAATTTTCCGTTATCTTAGTATCAACAATTAAATGCAATCGCACAATAAATTAATTCACATAACCTTTAGACTGAATACAATCTTATTTATCGGTGTAAAGCTAGTTTTCAATGTAAAACTAAAACTGTACTGTTGTAACTATCATAGGTACAATGTATATCAGTTGTGGATATTTATAGCCATGATCTGTGGAAGTCATACTCCCTGATGTGGATTACCGTCCACACAAGTGATTACTACGAATATACGCAGTAGCATCCTGATAGTTAGACCAATTTGTTAATTACAAGGCAAAAATGTGGTTCAGATTCCACTATAAACTGCAGGTCTCTAGTTGTCTTTGGATGTTTGGGCTACTTAGTGACAACACTACAAGATCACGCCACAATATCAAAATCAGAAAAAAATGAAGATTGATGGTATGTCAGTTATTTTAAACTGTTGATTGCTGTTCTGCATTATTAATTACACTTTCAGGAAATGTTTTAACAGTCGCTTCGGTCTATAAAGTTTCATATCAAGTCATTGGTTGCACACAACTTATCTATTTCCAACTAATAAAAACAAGATATCATTACGAACCCGTTAGCAATTAAATTATCTCCACCTAAACATGCCGATTAAATCACAAGCCTAAATTCCAGCTAGTGTCTTCAACAGCTCCATCAATTTTTAAAATCATCCCAATTCCATTCAATCCGTGAAAATGTCACATCCCATTACGACTGTCAGTGAATAATGTTCGATTAATTCCATTCGGTATTCGCGTCCGGTTGTTTACATTGTATAATTGCATGATAATGGTTGATAAGTTACGACCTGGTAATGTAGGAGTGGGGGTAGGGGTTGGTGTGGTGGGGGAAACGCGGCAACACCGCCAATCCCTCAGTCGTTGCCGGGCGGTTCCAGTGCCATGATGTAGAGTGCGCTAGTGTCGCGTGTGTGTGACCTTTGGATATATGTGGCCAGGAAACTAGGTTTGTTATTATTATGTAGCTGGCAATCATGTTATTTGAATGTAGGGTTGTTTTAGTTAAGTTGTGTTTGTACAAGGTTTTTTTATTGGTGGACATCAAGAGAAAAATATAAAAATATGTATTTAATTCCAACGGTTATTAGGGAAATATAAATATTTATTAGTAATTTGATGGTTTATTTAAGAAAATGTGCGTTGAAATCCGCACATGCATTGTTTTTGTGGATTAAAAAAACACTCCATAACAATCATAATTAATTATCAAGTATTTACTAAACTGTACTAAATGCAATGTAAATTTACTTAATACGATTTCGATTTAGTAGTTCTTACAAATAATAATTTTATTTTAAATAATTAATAATATTTATTATTTTTGCTGTCAAAAAACTTGTTTGTGACCAACAAATGCTATATGCATATCTAAAGTAACGATCAAACATTATAGTTCAGTGTTTTACATCACTGTTAGAAAATAAGTATATTAGAAGATAATATAAAACTAATATATGACACTTTTAACCACTAAAGCATTCGATACTAGGCTTTCCACGCGATAAAATATAGCGTTTCCAATAGTTGACCCAATGCAAATTTTCGTTTTTTCATAAGATTTTGGTTATGCTTGCATCTTAAAAAAATATACTGTATCGGTTTCAAATTCCTTTTTTTAATATATATTCTTGTGTAGGCCTACTGGAAATAAACTTGTTCAATAACCTAACAATGTTAAACAAATGTATATTTTTTAGAAAAAGTAACACAATATTACCAAATCTTACTTCTGCTTTGACAATATATCCAAGCAGTATTAATATTTTATTCCCTTCAGTATATTTTATAAATTTGTAACATTCAACTTAAATTGTGTTAATTTTATAGGTTATTCACGGTCAAATAAGCATTTACATAGCTTTAAGGAATGTGCGAATGCGCTATATCAGCTATACGATTTCGCTTGGATTTGTTCTTAAATTACATTTACCTATATTAAATACTTATTCCAATATTTATTGTTATAAATTATGCTAGAAATTTACCTTTTCTGCAATCCTAAAGTGTATTTTATAAAGGTATTTAAGTAAAATAAAAGATTAGTTACGCACAAAAATTTTAGGGACATAATTATATTTTTGATGTTAATTATAAAATAAAATATGACTTATATTCTTCAAAAAAGTAATCAAAATTTAAATTATTAGTTCACGACTGCATTATAACTTACAACGCTTGACGGAATGCAGTGTTTCAACGTTTAGATTTGACATGACGGTTAACATTACGATTCTGGAATTGATTTCTTTACGATGTTTGAATTCCTTAGAGTTTAACATCGTCGTTATCATTTCTACATTCATCGTATAGGAGAAATAATAACATTTTATCATGTACGTTTACAGCCTGTGTTTCATAAAAATCTTTTTAAAACTGCATATTTATGAAAACAATTACTGTATTACCTTCATTGGTTTGATTGGTAATGATTTAGGCCAATGTTTGCCAATCCTAAAAATCCTTTGATAAAATATAAGTTTGACAGATAGTACAAAAAAAACAATTTTAACGTTTTCATTTTTGGAAATATGTTTTTTAAAAAGATAAAACGAGATCATAAATGGTTTGAAAACATATAAAAATATATAATATATATTGATCTATTAACACAAAATTCATAAACTTAATATTTTTAATTCTTTTTTTATTGTATTTAAATTGGTTTATCTAAAAAAATGTCTTCTTATTATTGTTATCAATAAAATAGCGTCCAAGTTACGATCACATACTTGTCTTTTCTTTAACTACCATATTAATTTTTTATTATTTGCTATGATATTAAACGAAATATCTAAGGAAATTACTATAAAATGCAAAATCTCTTAGGTGATAATAAACAGAATTATATCTTGTTTTAAAACCAAACTATTCATTGATAGAACATTATTTCGTAATTTATATTGAATTCTTTTTATTTAAATTTTTAATGAAGAAAATGTTATACTTTGTACGAGTAAAAGCGTATGTTCAAGTGACAAACATTTGAGTGAAACCCTTTTTACAAAGGCACCACCCACACGTAAATGGTTCAAACGTATTCTGCTCTTTTACTGATACTTCTAACCAGCAGACGGAATTTAATCATATTCATTTTACCATATCTGCATTCCCATCATTCCTAGCTCTTATTGATACAATCAATACTTTTAAGGCGTGGTTAAAAAGCTAATATAATTTCAGGTGTTTATAATTTCAATTTTGTCTTGACGCTAAGCTCTAGCCCGTAATATTTTTTCACACAACTTTGGGGTGGACTTTGTGATATTATCACTTAGTTAAAGTCCATTGGTAATTTGGCAGGATTTGAACCCACGACCTCAAGGAACTATGTCCCATGCTCTACCACTAGACCAGCTCACACCAAGCCTTTTATGAATGATAAGTGCATTATCAACAGAACAGAAAGGGAATATTTTATATTTTACTAGAACAGCATTCTATAATAGTATATTTCATCACTAGGAGTGAAAGTGGCTCTTTTTACATTCACGCAATTGCGTACAAAAAACCCCTTCGCTCCGTGTAATGAAAGATTATTTTCATCACAGAGCTCTGTGGAAGCAACCTACTAATCGTTAAAAATAGACCATATAACTTCAAATATCGAGGTATTTGTAGTGAGATTATGAGTGTTTCAAATTGTAAAAAAATATAATGTGCCGTAAACAAATTTTAACGGACCGAAACATTTACCATATGTTTTTTATGTTTCCTATTTGAAGTTTCCTGTAAACGATGATTTTGCGAACGATTTATATAACAAAAACGGCTGTTTCCGGGCATTGGTTTTTTGAATATGTTTTTTAAATATGTTGAAAATAACATCAACTGCCAACGCAGTGTCACTCTTGTAATTAAACTCTTGCAACCTTATTTTTGTATCGCATTTAGTCACACTGGAAGGTAGCTGCTTAAAATGCAACTCAGAGGAAGAAGCGTTCGTAGAACTCATGCTTTGGTATGTTTGCATTTATAATGCACATCAGTGTGTACGGTAGTATAGGCCTAATATTTACCTTTGGTGTTAGCAGATGTTTGAAGCTGAAATCACTAACGGGTGGGAGTTTGGTTCAATTGGAACTTAATTAATGAACTATTAATTGAAATCAATGATGAGTTTATGATCTTAGTCTCGCTGTTTGAACCTAAAATGACAAACATTATTTACTAATTAGGCTAATATTTTAAAGTATTTTTCGTTACACTACTATGAAATGACCTTTTTTCACTACATGTTTATCACCTATGAAAATTCAAAATAACATTGTTTACTACGGAAAAAGAATATTTACTATGGGAAAGTAATGTTTACTATCTTTTTTGGATTTTGTCGACGCACTTTTTTTGTCAATAGCTTTAATTATATACAACCAAAACTGTATTTACTAAAGTAAATGTGAACTTACAATTGTTGGGGCGACTTAAAACATTCTATGTGTTTTGGCATGTTCCTAACTCTAATAAAGGAATCCAATGTCTGTGTTGGTTAAGAAAACAATTAGTCTTTGAAGTCTAGCGAAAAGTAAGGTTCAAAACACGAGTGAAATTGGGTCTATACCTATGTTTCACCATTTAGAGTATTCGATAGATCTCGAAACTACTCACTTCATACATGGTTTCAAATATATAATGGCTCACTTCCTACTCTTCTATGCAATATACTGTTACACTGAGCAGGATATTATTTCGTGTAGCAAAATGTATTTAAGAAGCATTACATTCCTTTGAAACAATTTGAAGATTTCTGTACAAAGCTAAATATTTTTTTTCGTAGCTTAATAGTTTGTTCAGCGCTATTTATTTATATTTAAACGAATTAATTTGGTGACATGGGTCTTAAAGTAAAAACTACTCCCACTTTCAATGCATATGGATTAAATGATGTTTCAGGGTTTATTTTATATGTAATTCACATTTATGCCAACTTAACTGAACAAAAGCTTTAAGAGTCTCAAAAGAGTAAGCTCTAGATTCGAATTGAATGTCCAAATTAAAAGACAAGAAGTTAAATATGTTTATAAAGACTTGTAGAAGGGATTTTACAGAAAATGTTTTATAGTTTGTTGGCTGTTAGGACAACGAAAATTCTGTTCTCGCAGAAAATGTGGATGAGAAAATTAGTTTTCTTGACTTAGTGCCCAAACCTATCTTATAAAACGCATGAACATCAAACAGTTACTGGACATAATTTTCTGGTAAATAACAATTCATGAAAGCTCGCTTGAAACAGCATAAATTTCTTTGCATCATTCCAAATCTCAATATACTGTACAATATTTTCTCCTAGTTAGTGTTGAGAAGTATGTTTCTTTTGTGATCGTGAAAAAAACTACCAGATTGCCCTTGGTTAATTCACTGGCAAAAGATATTATTTTTACTTTTCCTTAAACCCTATGGTAGGTGAAAATAGTTCCTCCCCCAGTATAATCGTTCCACATGACTGATTCTGTACTTTCCCTAAGAGAACATTCCAATGTTTTCAAGAAAATAATAAATCAGTCCAGTTTGTAAAGAAAGAGTTAAAAGATGCAGAAGCTGGTAAAACTGTTATATCAATAATATTAATAATTATTATTATCTTATCTCAGTAATTTTAGTTTAGGACAATGGGTGTAATCACGTAGACATGTAAAGAACTTCTATTTTCTTTTGCAGTGTAGAAAAATGTTTGGCTTTTCTACAGGTTTATTATATCAACTTGAATGACAGTAAGTCCAATTTAAAGTTAAAATCGTATTCGATTATGCATTTCTTAATGGAATGGACAACTAAACATTTGGGAGTCTTAGATGGTTTTCCTTTAAATGACAATGGTTTGCTACATTTTAATGAGGAAAAGCCATACTTTTTACACACTACTACCATGTTTATATAAAAAGGAACGTGGTGATGGATTAAATAAAATAAACAACAAAATAAATACGGCTATTGTGCTAGGTACTAACA